TTTATCAAAGTAACAGGCTTTATGTTTCTTAAACTACATGCATTTATGAAAGTTCTTACGAAGTTTCAACAGTTTTATACACTAGTTTTATTGTTGGAACAAAATATAGCAAGACTTGCATTGGCTACTAAGAAAGTTAGTAGCCAGTGGTCATCGGGTTAAAGGTAATTGTGACTAACAAGTTTTAAGTAATCCCAAAACCTTTCTTGTAAATAAATATGCCACTATAAATATTGATAGTTTTTAACCTTCTTTCTATGGGTAGGTTAAAGTGTGTGTGTGTGATGACCATTTACAGTTACATTCAAAATTTAATTAAACCAATTTATTATTAAAGTATAAAAGAATAAATTTGGCATCAAAACATAATTCATAAATCAAATTTTAATATTATACAAGTTTTAATTCTTAATTTTAAAAGGAAATATTTAAATAAATCACCAACCTCCCTTTGTATGAGAATTGTGACATTTGTTCTCTAAATCTTCTCCATTCTCTAGTATATTTACCACCCCTCTCTAAAATGGAGTTTAACATTAATTACTTGTTATAATATAGATGTTACTAAGGCAAAATCTAATTTTTATAGCCGTCAATCTCGCTTGTGTATGGAGCCATAAACTAAAAATTTAGACCCAAATCCTTTATTTCACAAATTGCCAGTGATTTTGTCTGACGTTTTATAAGACATCAGTTAATGCTATGTTGTTTTCAGTAAAGACTATCATCAGTTTGAAAGTTTATCTCGCAGTGCTCAAATTGAGTGGCAAAGAGAATCTATTTAAGCCCCTCTTGTTTTACTTAGAAAGCCAGTCAAATTATAATAGTTATAGAACATTCTGTGCTTTGTGTGTGTTATTATTCTGTGTTCTTAGTTGCATTATTTCAGTAAATAAAAATTATGTAGTGTACTAGTACTATCGGTATATAAAAAAAAAAAGTAGGCTTAAATTTTATCAGCAATGGACAGCAATAAAAAAAAGAGGTCATAGGTAAGTACTACATTGCTTGTTTTTGATGTATATTTTTTTATTTATTGTTATAAAGTAACTAAAATGTATAAACGTATTAGGTTAACTTGGGTAAGATAATGGGAAGAAAAAAAATTCCCCATGAGTTATACTTGTGAGTAGCTCATGCAATACATCATTCAATTAAGTAACATGAGCTACACTTTTAATTGAATGATTTACAACTTGTGTAGCAGGATTATAAGTCAGACTCTGTTCAATTGGCAATAAAACAATAAAATTAAATATAAACAGATGTATACTGTTACAAGCCTTAGGCTATTTAGGATAAACAAATGTAAGCTCCTATTTACTATTTGCAGTTTGCAGTTGTTTTAGAAAAAAGATGGTAATTTATATTTATTTCGTACATGTTGTGGTTAAATAGTTGGTCAAGTTGAACGAGTCTCTATAACGAGTCTCTATAACGTTAGAGTAAAGAAGATAACAGATAAAATACAATGTTTTTTGCTGAAAAAACGTTTGATGTTTATAGGTTACATCAATGAAAGTTGAAAATTTTCAGATAAAGAAAATTATTTTTAATA